CAAAAGAATAAGTGAAAAATAGTAAAAAAATAATAATCAAAATATCACCCGCTAACAATTTAATTAGGTTTCCTCTTCTCATTCAATTTTTAAATAATCTGGATAAGAGTTAGCAATATTTTCTAATTGATAGAGTATTAATCGTAAACATAATTGACATTCAGAATTATTATTTTGGGGATAAATGCCTATTTCGGCTGGCAAATAAATTATTTTACAGTCATTTTTATAATGAAGTTGGAGAAAATTAACTGCGCCATTAGTAATTGCGGAAATAGCAGCACAAACTATGTCTTTACCTTTCTGAGCATAGTTAGCATGATCTTTGATAATAATGTATTCAAAGTTGTTTTTTTTATCTTTTTTATAAATTATATTAGTCACCTCAAAAATATAAGTTATTTTTCCAATTGACTAGTAATTAAACTTTAAGAAAGTTAATTAAGCATAATGCCTAATCTATAATTTTCTTAATTAACCTAGCCAGCGCCAGGAGAATTTATGCTGGCTGGTTACTAATCAAAAAAAAGATTCGGACTTGGCTTAAAAGCAAATTTGTTTATTGGAGGGAGAAATCAGGAACTAGCAAAGCAGTAAGAAAAAGAATCACACTTAAAACAATTCCTATTCTTCCCACTCACAAAATGCTAGTAAACTTATGAGGAGGATCCTCTCCCAACTTCTTTCATAATCTAATTGTTGAATGATAGTAATGGATATAAAGAATAGAAAGTAGGAACAAACCTATCGAAATCAACCATAAATTTTTTGTGAGAAAAAAAACAGCATAGGCAACCATGACTAAACCAGAAACGAGAAGTGAGGAGACAATTATTTTTTTCCTAATCTTCGCCTTTATTTTTCTCCCCACCTTTCTTTTACTCTCGCGAGGGAAAAACCACCTTTGAAAATATTTTTTAATATGTTTGGTAATCATGTTATTAAAAAATTTAAATTATTTTTTTACCTTTATTTGTTGAAGAGTTAATGACACCAAAACTAAAATTCTATCATATATCACTATCTATACTGATTTACTCTTAAACTATCTAAAAACATGAAAGAAGAAAAAATTGAATTGTTATACCTTGAAACAGGACTTTTGTGACCTCATTATAAGAAAAAGAAAGCTTTGAGTGCTAATACTTTAACCAAGATATTAAAGGAAATAGAATATCAAGAGATACCACAATATATCCTTCTTCGGGCAGCCCAAAGAGGAAAAACATTTCATAAAACTATTCAAGAATTTGTGCAAAGTGGTAGTTATCCCCCTTTCGTTGATTTGACTTCGGAAACTATTTCAAGTAATTTAGAAAAGAGGATTCATGAAACCATCAATTTTCTGAAAAAAAAAACCTCTTTAGAACTTAACCGTTTTCTTGGTAGTGAAAAATTGCACTATGTTTTTTATAAAGGTGAATTATTGGCTACTTATCTCGACTTAGAATTTCAGGATCACATTATTGAACTGAAAACGAATAGTGTTAAAAGTAATGATAATCCCCTTGCCCTTTTAGTTTTCGAAATTCAACTGCTTATTCAATATTTATGTACCGGAAAGAATGTTTATCTTTTGTGAAGTACGGGAAAAGGGGTAATCTTTAATAAGTTTCAACCTTCTGAACATTCTTTAAAAATACTTGATATTCTGATTGATTTAGTAAGAAATGGTGAAGCTTATTCGCCCGGGGTTAAAAAAGTTATTGTGCAAGAAATAATAACGAGATATTTACCGAAAAAATTAATTTAGTCCTTTGGTATAAAAAAAGATAATATATTTGAGTTTGATTATTCCGCACCTTTCCTTAAGTTTCTTTTTTGGGTTGCGTGGGAGATTTTTGTAATAGTAACAAGATATTAGAGCTATTCATAAGGAGTTAGAGAACTAATAAAGTAAGTATATTTTTGCTATATTATTATTTTTAAAAGGTATTTAGTAGTTAAGTGCTTTTAAAACTTTTCAGTTAGAACAGTTAAGATTAGAGCATTTTAAAGAAAAATTAGTTAAGTTTTAAACTATTTTTTTCAGTTTAGTTTTCACCTAAATTAATGATGATAATTGGTTCACTATTATTAGCCTATGGTCTTTATCAACACTTGAATAAAGAAAAAAGACCAAATAACTGCTAATAAAATAACCTAATATAACTTTACTAATGGGATTTAAGATGCTGGTTGTTCGGACTAGTAGTTCAACCAAAATATCTTTACCCATTAGTTAGTTAGAAAGTAAATTTTTCTTGCTTTCTAACTTTTTTTTAAAACTATTCAATAATTAACTAAAATTGCTTTATTTTTAGTGGGTTTTTAAAGAGTTTAGTATTTTACTATGGGTTTGAAAATAGTTAATAAATACTCAATATAACCAATCAGATAACTTAATAAACATGACTGATTGGCTAAGTTTAGTAAATAATCTTACCTAACTGTTAAACTTTTTATAATTCCTCCTTAACTTTTGTTGTTATTGTTTTAGAAGTTTGCGTCTTATTTCTATAAAAGGTGTGAACTAATTCAGTTGATAAAAACATTGTGCAAGTATCAACAATAGAGTCATCGTGTATTGCATTTCTATCGTTTATTTTAACTGAATTTTTGACTTCGCAATTATCATCCTTATGCTTTTCTGAAACTTTTGATAAAGTTTCAACAATATCTCCCGAAGTTATTTTTTTCTTTGATTGAAGTGTTTCAAAGAAATTGTCTTTTAAATGATTGACAAAATCTTTACATTTATCATCTGAGTAATTGAATGCCAGTTTTGTTCATTTTTCTACTTCTTTGTCACCAATATAGAACTTTTCTCCTCTTTTAGTTATGTCAGTCTTTTTACAATCTTCAGGATATACTTTTTCAAGCGGTCTGCCCTCGCTTGCACGGTTATAAGTTCCACCATGAGCGAACGTATCGATAATATTTCTTATTCTACACCCTATATCTCCTCCACAATCTTGCTTGTAACATAATCAACCACCACTGCTATAATTTCACTCTATATATAAGGTTTTAGTATTTTTATCTAAACCATTAATAATAACTCCTTTTTTTACTTTTATTATTAAGAATTAAAACCACAACAATTATTCCTCCCACTAAAACACTCCCACCAATTATTCACGGCAGATAATTAACCGGTTGCTTTTCCGTCTGCTGTTCTAATTCTCTTAATCTAGTTCTTAAATTCTCTAATTCTGCTTCTTCTTCCGGAGTGCGATTAGTTTTTCTTTCTAATCTCTTTATTTTCTTCCTAATTTGCTCTCTCTCTCTCTCTCTCTCTCTCTCTCTCTCTCTCTCTCTCTCTCTCTCTCTCTGTCGTTAGGGTTATATTTTCCTTTTCTCTTAGCAAGTTCATCAATTTCTTTACTTACTTGTTGATAAACTTGTTGCATTTGTTCTTGATTAGTAAAAGTTCCAAATTGAATTTTATGGAGTAAATTAAGTGTATCTAAGGTATCAAGGTCATAATCCTTTGCTAATTCTTCTAAATTTTTGCTAAGTGGATATCTTAAATTCTGAACAAATTCAGGACTTTCTTGTTCTCAACAATATCCACAAGTGTACCAATCAGGATCATCTTCGCAAGGAATGATCTCTTCACTAGGATGGTGGCAAGTTTTCAAACCTTTTCTTTTCCCATCAGCTTTATCAATAGTTTGTGGAGAAGCATACTTTTTAACAGTGTTTTCTAAATTATCAATATGATTTTTCATTAAACCGCAATCAGGTTTGAACATTCAATAATCGTTTCAGTTATCAGTTCCTTTTTGATTAGTAAACTTATTAATTTTATTCTTTAATTTACGAATTTTTTCGACATCTTTTACCTCTAAGTTCTTGTCTTTTATTTTTTCATTAAACTCTTGGGTAGTTTCTTTTAAGTCTTTGAATATTATGTTACCTTGATCCTTAGCAATTTGTTGCCTTCACTTTTGGCAATCTGGTTTTAAGCAATATGACAAAACTAGTTTATCACCACAGTTAGCACAAATCATAATTTATAATATAAAAAACAGCACTTAAAAACCTAACTTTTTCCTTTTGTAGATTCATACTAATTAAATTTTACTGATTTAGATTGTTTTAAACAATTTAAGAACTTTTAGTTATTTTCCTTGAATAATTAGCAGAAGATGTTTAATTGCTACTTTGGTTCTGATAGTTTTTATTGCCGTTTGCAAAAAGAAAAAAACCTTAACCTTTTAATAAATAAATTACTAATATTACTCCGCCAATAATCATAACCTTATCAGTAGTTTTTAGTTTGTCTAAACCTAGCAATTTCATCAAGTTATTGCTTCCTACTAATTCTTTTCTTAATTTATCCAAATCATCCCTTAATTCTTTTGCTCTTTTTTTACCACTTTCTAACTGAGATTGGTGAATAATTAACTGCTGTTTTAGATACTCATCAGTTTCATTTTTTTCTCGTGGTA